AGGCGGGCGGGCGCGTCAGTCGTAACGCCCTGAGCCAAAACATCCGCGACGCCGGCAGAGTGAACCATGAACAGTGATCTGCGATGTAGGAGTAACCCGAGTGAAGGGAGGTCCTTGAGTCTGCGACCTCCAGGAAGGGCTGCTTGAAAAGCAGCTTAGTCAATTTGTAGGTTGTGGTAGACGTAGAAGAGAATCACGATTTGGCTGAAGTTTAAAACCGCAATCCAGTGTAACTTTTTAGGCAATTAATCGTTTGAAATTGAGTACATAATTTTTATGGGCTGGTCTTAAAGTGTTTCAGAGTTGACACTGAGGTGGCTGCCTTCGACAGAGAAGTGGAAGGCCACCAGCTGTTTCAGTTCTGCATCTTTGTACACTTTTTAATTTGAATCAGTCCAAAATGCATGTGCAGGCTTGCATTTGTCTTAAGAAGTTTAGCATCACTTCTGTTCAAAATCAGATCTCTGTGCTCATAGGAGAACTTGTGACGTTGCAGATATGCTCTTCTTTTCTATGCTTGTTCTACAGCTGAGACTAAAAAAAAGTATGTGTCCTTTTGAGTGACTTGAAGGAGATCATTGCACAAGGTGTTCTGTAACTCGAGTTGTTGCTTATGAACAGTGTGTAGGAATTCTTAAGCTATATGGCTTAAAAGTAAACTCTGACTTAAAGCTATCTCGGGTACTCTTGTTTCTCAAGTATCAGGCTAGGGGAGAAGCTATTATAAAATAAAAGTTGTAGGGTAATTATAAACTTGTGCAAGGGTTTTTTTTTGCGCTGTCAATCTACTTGGTAAAAGGAGAAAATTCTTGACTTTTTTTTTTTCATGTTTCTGTTCCATACTGTATTTATACAGAAGTTCAGCTAATAAGGTGTGTTTAGAACGGAAGATAATTTAATAAAAAAAACAAAGCAACAAACATTTGTCCTTTACTGGGACTTTTAATATGTAAAGTATGTGTCTAAATTAAATTTTACTTGAGCTTTTCTAGATGTTCTTTGTGTGTTCACTTTGTCTTTTAACTAATTTCCTTACAGTAAAATTTCTTGAAGTAATCAAGCCCTTCTGTGTTATCTTGCCTGAAATCCAAAAGCCAGAACGGAAGGTAAGTGAATAAAATTTTCCTCTTAGTCTATGTTTGTGTAATATAAAATGTTTACACTTTAGTTTGCATTTGTGGGACTTTTTTTCTTTCCTGTTGGGCGAATGACAGTTTTAGGCACAGTTGTTTTTAGTGGAGTGCTTGTCTAGTGTGTCCTGTACTGTGGATGCGGTTGTAAAAGAATATATTTGCTGGTAAATGCAATTATGCAGATACGGTGCCATAGCAGTGAGCAATGAGATGCTGAAAGGAGTACATATTGGAGTGTAAGCTAGAGTAGTTTAAAATAGGAACTTGAAAATCTTTGCCTCTTGAGTTCTAATCTAAGATTATTTGCTAAGATAAGCTTCTCTGTATTTTTATTTTTTTATCACCAGAAGCTCTTTTTTGTGAAAGTGTAAGATTCGTTTCTGTGAAACTACTAGGATTACCTACCATTGGCATAAGCTTGTTTATCTGGGTTAAAGTTTCAGTAAAGCTTTGTCATTTTCCTTGGCCTTATATAGTATAAAAAGGATGAAGTGCGAGGGTTTTTTTTAGGATGTCCCGTACTTTGTCCCTTCACAAGAAAATCAAGTGCGCTTTAGCTACTATGAAATGTTTGCCTGATTGGCTAGATCTTGTTATCTTGACAGCTTGATCATCTTTGGTTGTTGTTGTTGGTTTTTTCCCCTTTAGATTCAGTTTAAGGAAAAGGTACTATGGACGGCTATCACACTCTTCATCTTCTTAGTATGCTGCCAGGTATGTTTCTTTCCCTTGTTTTTAAGGAAGAGCTGAAATGGTTAAAGGAGGTTATGAAGTCTCTAATTTAATCCTGTTTTCCTGTGTTGGTTGGAAATGCAGATTCCCTTGTTTGGTATCATGTCGTCAGACTCAGCAGATCCTTTCTACTGGATGAGAGTGATTTTGGCGTCAAATAGAGGTATGGTCAGTCTTTCAGGAGGGAATTTTTTAACTTCGACCAAAATGATTTTGGACTTGTTTTTACATTGTGCTCTATTTTAATGAAGATTAAAACTGGAGCAGAGGGGAGAAAGACGCTTTATATATTACGTAAAATCATACATCAGTGTAGCATTGGGAAAGTCACAGCTCCGTGGACAAAAGGAGTTCATGGTTGGCCGTATGCAGTCTATTATATGTGCAAACATTAAGGAGCAGTTTTGGGGGGAAAGGGTTATGGGAGAGACAGTTCCTAATTACCAGCATCAGTGCAGTTGCAGCCGTCTGTAATCTCTCAAGCTTTTTGATTTGTGTTTCAAGTATGTATAATGCGATTTTCTGTGTGACATCTTTGAGTCTGTCTCACAGAATATTAAAATTCATGATAGTTTGTCTAAACTTCAGTTTCTCTTAGAGGCTTTCTAATGCAGGTATGAATTAAGAATGGTGACGGTTTCCTGAATTCACTTTGTTGTTTTGTATCATTTGAGCTATCTATCAGTTTGTCATCATGAGGTGTGCATATATGCCTGCAACTTGGTGCACTCCTGAAAAAAGTTTGGATGTTCCTGTTTAAAATTACGAATAATAAAGTGACTGATTGTGAAAGACATAAAGCAAATTCCTACCTTGTTTTATCAGAATAAATCTGTTCCTGACAGCAAAAGTCTTTTTCAGCGAGCATGGTTTTTAAGGTACTGAGGAGTACTGCATTACTTATCAGGCTGACCTTTAACAAGCTTCTGTTATCATTGAATCCTTTTACATTTATGGAGATTTGGAGTTTTATATCGTCTCCATAATGATGTAAAGGTGGAAAAAACAAACTTTGAACTTCAGAGGTGCCTGGGTATGGTACACCCCATTATTTTCTTTTATTTTTTTCTTCCTGTGTCTGGCAGGCACGTTGATGGAGCTGGGCATTTCACCTATTGTCACTTCTGGGCTCATTATGCAGCTCTTGGCAGGTGCCAAGATAATTGAAGTTGGTGACACCCCAAAGGACAGAGCACTCTTCAACGGAGCACAGAAATGTGAGTAACAGCTGATATTAAAGGCTGATGTTTTAAAGTCTCTAACCCTAACAATAGGAAGTGTAAACTTACCCTGTGATGGATGTTGGACTCAGATATATGGCTTTCTGTGATGATGTGTGCTCATGTTCTACAGATTTTTTTCATCGGTCTTTTACAGGCTGTTCTCTGACTTGTTAGCTGTTAAGCTTCAGAAAGGTTTGAAAAGAAAAAGCATCTGTGCAATTGGCATTGCTGCTGTAATCTCACCAGATAAACTGATATATAGACTGTGGGGACCCAGCCTTTGAACTGTGTTAGTCAGTGTTAACCTAAAAAAGTTAATGGTGAGATGTTTGTTGTAGTTTTTACCTTGCAGTTTCAAGCATGGCTCTTTCTCAGCAATAAGAGTCTCTGTGCTCAGTTGATAAGACTCATATAAAAATTTGATTATTCTTTAGCTATTTATTGCTGTACCACACTACTTACTGATATGTTTACTGGAAAAAGGAATCATAAATTGCTAAGGTAATATCTTATCTCCCTCAGAGTTTTCAATATCTAAAGCAGTCTTCAGCAACCAAACCCACTTGCTTCTAAGAGTATTAGTTTCTGAAGTGCCTGTGTGTATTTGTATTTTTAGTGCCAGATTTCAGACAACAAACTTAACTTGCCCTTGAATTTAAACATCCTGTGACTCCTGTGTTCCTTCACGACTTTCTCTACAAGAAGTGATTTATATTTCTCTAATTGCGCACTGACATATATCTCTAGAACAAATACATACTTCTTCTCTTTTTTCTGCAGTGTTTGGAATGATCATTACCATTGGACAGTCTATTGTCTATGTAATGACTGGAATGTATGGAGACCCATCTGAGATGGGTGCTGGTATCTGCTTGCTTATCACAATTCAGGTAATTTCTAGTCTTTTCTACTTCATCTCCCTCTCAGAGGGTCAAAAATCAGTCTTGTGGACTGCCTGCCCCTCATGCAGAGAAAAAACATCGAAGTGTGCCTGCTTCCTCATATATATATAGTCTTTCCTTATCTTTTAATACAAGTTACTTTTTTAGCAAAAAGTAAAAAGGGATGGGACTAATGCTGTACTTTTTTTATTGTAGCTTTTTGTTGCTGGATTGATAGTTCTGCTCTTGGATGAGCTCCTTCAGAAGGGATATGGTCTCGGTTCTGGCATCTCTCTCTTCATTGCTACCAATATCTGTGAGACTATTGTGTGGAAAGCATTCAGCCCCACGACGGTGAACACAGGACGAGGTAATATGGCATAGTCTGGTTTCTTTACTTACATTAGGATTGAGTTATCTTTATTAAGTGAAACAAAAACTCAAGTAGCTTCTCCCCCCTATTCTTTTAAAAATTCCAACTCATTAGATTCTTACATAGAACAGTACAATGATTATTTAACAAAAATGTCTGTTGTGGATAAGTCTTAATTTTGTACAAAAAGGCACAGTCTTTTTTTGCTGTATGTTAATTTAAATGGCAGATGCTGTTACTAGCATCTTAGCTGTGTAGTTGCCACGTAGTGAATCTTGTTAATACAGCAAGTGCTCCTATGCAAGGTGCAAGTACAAAGACATTTCTTTTTACTTTTGTAGTATCTCACAAGACATTTCCTGAACTTGAATTTCTTGCAGTGCCTCCAGTAAAACTCTGTAATGGTAGACTGCTGTTGTATTACGGTTGCTGCCCAGCTTACCGACGAATATCATCTGTTTCTTTCTGCTCCTTGCATGTCTTACTCTTTGCCCCAAAGACCTTATTCTCCAAGCCTGACAGCAGGTGATCTTGCGTGGTCCTGTGTAATAGGAAACATAAGTGAGGTTATCAGATGTGCTGTAGTACAAACAATAACCAGTTTCTCACCACGAGGGATACTAGAAACCATGCTCCCTCATTTAAAATTTTTTTTTGATGGGAAGGAGGAAAGGGGGAAAGAACTTGGTGAATGTCAATGTTTCTAGAGACCAGTAAAGTATCCCATTTGACTGCTGGGCTATAATTTAGTTTCTAGGCCACTGTAGAGAGATTTTCAAACAATCTTGGAAATAACATAGCTGATACGGAGGATGGCAGTAGTGAAATTCTGAGAGCGTGCTTGAGATGCGAAAGATTCGGAGAAATCCCATTCTGAATCCTGTGGTTGAGAAGTATGCCTCATGGGACAAAGCACTGAAGTTTGGAGACAGTCACAGCACACCTGACTCGTTTTTTTTCTTTTCCTTTCCAAGGCATGGAATTTGAGGGAGCCATCATTGCTCTGTTCCATCTTCTGGCTACTCGTACAGACAAAGTCAGAGCTCTCCGTGAGGCCTTCTACCGTCAGAATCTCCCCAACCTTATGAATCTGATTGCCACCATTTTTGTCTTTGCTATTGTAATTTATTTCCAGGTCAGTTGGAATAAAGAGGGCTATAAAACAGTTTGTATGGAAGTGGATCTGTAATCTGCTTCCTTTTATAAGAAATTGTATTTTCACTGTCCAGTGTCTTCAGAAGACTCATTTTTGTGCGTGCTACCTCTGGATGTTCATTTAATGCTAGCTTCTTTTAATCAGTTTCCACACTTACTGTAGCCACACAAAAGACTTGAGACCTGCTTTGGTCTCTGAAAAAAACAGATGGGTGTGTACATGTAATATTGCCTAACCCAAATGCTATTCTTTTTTGCTGGAAAAGACTTGAAGTCTTTAAGCCTGTATGTCTCTTACTGTCTGTTGCAGCAAACTGCTGAAGAATATTGAAAGTTTTGAGTAGTTTTAATGTTTCTTTTCCTGGACGTTGTATGCAGTCTTCTTGAAACTTCAGATTTCGTCTCATGTCTACATCTTTTGTACCTTCTTACATGTGTGAGGTCAGACAGTCCTGCAGGCTTCCAGGCCCTTCGCAGAAGTGTTCGTATGGATAGCCCTCTGGGTAGAGCATGTGTACTTGCACAAAATGATTTTATGGTTTTTCTCTGTTGCTGTCAAGACCTTGCACTTGCAGTTTATGACCTGTTGTATGGGTTGATGTCAAGATATAATAGGGAACTTTCTTTTGAAAACTTTTCAGGGCTTCAGAGTGGATCTTCCTATCAAATCTGCTCGCTACCGTGGCCAGTACAACACCTACCCCATCAAGCTGTTCTATACTTCCAACATTCCCATTATTCTTCAGTCCGCACTGGTGTCAAACTTGTATGTCATCTCCCAGATGCTTTCTGCTCGTTTCAGTGGCAACTTACTGGTTAGCCTACTGGGCACTTGGTCTGTGAGTATTCCTTCTAATCTTGCACACAACTTTATGAGAGCGCTGTTAAAATATGTAGTTGAAGAGGTGTTCTGTCTATAAACATGAAGGTGCACTTCTACAGGTGGTCGTGTGCACTGAAACTGCTAGATTAGTAATTGAAATTAATCACAGTCCTAGGTATTTTTGCTGTTCCTTGCTGTAGTCCATTTCCACCTTAGAAACTGCTCGTGATAGTAAAGTAGCATCTTTGTGCCCTGCTGTAGCAGTAATGATCTGCAGTGACGTGAAGGTGATCCAAACTCAGGCTTAGTTTAATGGCTGAGAAATAGTGAGAAAGTTGGTGACTGCTTGCTCCCCTCTTCCAGGACACATCGTCTGGAGGCCCTGCTCGTGCTTATCCAGTTGGTGGACTTTGTTACTATCTGTCACCTCCAGAGTCCTTTTCTTCAGTGTTGGAAGACCCTGTCCATGCAGTTGTTTATATTGTATTTATGTTGGGCTCCTGTGCTTTCTTCTCCAAGACATGGATTGAAGTCTCTGGCTCCTCTGCCAAAGATGTAAGTACAAAATGATAAATGATCTCAGCTTACATGGTGAAAACAGATGGGCTGTTGTAAGAATAACAGTGACGTTCTTCTGAAATAGCTATTGTGCTGGTAATCTTGTTGTTAACATTTATATTTTGTGTAAATAGTGACTTTGATTCTGGATCAGAAGGAGCTTAAAAATAAGAATTTTTGTCTTTTATTGTGAGAGAGGAGGATAAGGACGGAATGGAGGTAAAGGCTAATTTTTGCCCTGTTTTCTTTACTGCTTTTTCAAAAACAGCAAAACCCAAATAATTGCTTTCATTGGCATTAGGAAACTTTGAACTCTAACATCAGATCAGTGTGAGGGGAGGCAAGGCAACATGAAAGGTGGAAACTCTTTCAGTGCCGAATGACAGATGCACTGTGTGCAAGGCGGTTGCTGCTTTAAGAACTGGCAGGTAAAACTTGAATACCCATGTCTGGCATAGAGGGCTCTTCATTTCTTCATTTCTTTTTGGGGAAGATTAACTGGAGGTTATGATATTTAATTTGAGAGTGCTGATAACACAGAATATAGTGCAGTGTACTAATGTACCTGAGCCTGCTTCTCAAAATTTCCATTTGCTACGGGATTTTTGATATCAGCAGCTATATCATTCTGAAGTTGGAATTGGAAAACAAGATGGAAAATAGTTGTCATTGTGGTAGGTTTGTACTGTGTGGTTTTTGGGTAGCAAATAAAGTTTGGCAGCCATATGGAATGGTTTAATCCATTCTTTAACAAATATGTAATAGTTGCACAGTTAGTGTAACAGCGTGAGCACTCTCTCGTTTTGGACTTGCATCTAGCTGCTTGTTGTCAGGTGTGCAGGGGGGCTCTCACAGCCATGTATAGCCGGATTTTTATTTCAGTATAAACCAGCATACAGCTTATAACACTTTAATGTACTTTAGTGGTACTAAAAAAAAATTATTTTACATTTATGTAAACAAGGTCAAAAATAAAAATTGCTAAATCATTACTTAAATGTTTACAATATAATTAAAACTGGTGTTTTCTCGGTACATTAGATTCAGTGACAGGCAGCTGTAGAAGTTCCCCTGCTAGAGTTTCAGCTCCCCTCAGTTGTCAGTAAAATGTTTGCGGGGCTATACTGTAACCCTGTACAATTGCAAAAATCCACTTTAAGAATAATGTTCCAGGAACTGAGTCTTTTAAGTCACATTGTTTCTAATATGGCCCCACAAATAAACAGCTCAACTAAGTGTGAGAAACCGAAGTGTAGGAGTGGACACTTCGTAGGATGGTTTTGCTAACATCTGCTAAACCCTAACCAGGAGAAGGGTAGGTGGCAAGACAGGAATTGAATTATGTGTGTGAGAGCCTAGCAATTGCCAGATTTTCCTCTTCTCAATAGGACTAGAATTATCCAAAAAGCTTTGCCTAATTGACAGTGTGGAAAAGTGCCTGTGACCGCAGTCTATCTGAAGTTAAATACTGGCTACTTTAAACTCAGATGAAGAATATTAATAAAAACAAAACAAAACCCCAAAGAACCCCAACCCAAAGCCACCACCATTTACTGAAATGTCTTGCTCCTGATTTTCTGTAGTACTAAGTTCCCTGGCCTTGGCAAATGATGCGAAACTTACTTGCTCCATTCCTTGGTTCAATACAGGTTGCCAAACAGTTGAAGGAACAGCAAATGGTAATGCGAGGCCACAGAGAAACTTCAATGGTCCATGAACTAAACAGGTGAGCTACACATTTCACAGGCTGTTTATGCAAAGTGTTATGGGGAAACACTGCAAATTTTGCTTTGACTTCCATTTTCTAGACCCTAGAAGACAGATATGCTTTCAACTTCAGTGTTCTGTGTGCAGGACAGAATAGTTCTCTCATTAATGGCTGGACTTGCACAGTACAACATATTCTTGCCCTACAGTTAATGTGCTTTAAATTCTGGGGCTTGTATTTTCCTTTTGTTACATTTTTTTCATTTTTATACTTTTTATAGGATAGTTAATAATGAGCATTCGTGTGTGCTGCTTGAAACTGATGCACCAGCGGTTTTTACTGTAATTTTTAATGTGTTGTTCAGTCTTGAGTACTGTTTTCACGCAGACCTTGCTTTTAAGACAAGTAGTTAGTTAAATCTACTAGATGCAGAGGTAGGGAGGGGTCAGTCTTTCCCGGTTTTCTGTTTGCGGGGTAGGAGCTACACATCCTTCATGTTACAGAAACGTTATGGAAGCTTTAGATTTCAGTCATCTGCAAAAGACTTGAGACAGTAGCCATAAACTTAATCTTTGTGTTTAATGCATGGTAGACCGTAATACCTTCTCTTCTTAGCTTAGCATTTTTTTCCCTCCTGTCAGGTTGAGCTTTTTATTTCTTTACCTGCTATAGTGGCATTATTCCTTATCTTGGATTGGTAGAGCCATGAGAGAAGAGAGTATTCTGCCACTGAATTTTTTCAGTTCCCCTAGTTTCGTTCTTGTTTTTTTTAACCATCTGGTTAGATTATCTCTCTAGTCTTCTTTCGGTTCTCAGTGGGACTGGTTTTCTAGGAGAAAAGCTGCCTCTGATCTAAATATCTCCCATAGATCCCATGTGCCATTAGCCCTAGTATATTTGTTAATATCCTGAGCAAACTCTAATGGTACCTTTTCTGTTCTCATTTTGTGTCTTACAGGTACATCCCCACAGCTGCTGCATTTGGTGGCCTCTGTATTGGTGCCCTGTCTGTGCTGGCAGACTTCCTTGGGGCAATTGGGTCTGGAACTGGAATTTTGCTTGCTGTCACTATCATTTATCAGTACTTTGAAATTTTTGTAAAGGAACAGAGTGAAGTTGGCAGCATGGGAGCTCTTCTTTTCTAAACCTAGCTTCTCATGGACCCAGGAAAGAGGGGAGGAACATTCTCAAAATATAGCCAGTCGGGTGAAAAGAAGTAACGTAAACTTGATAATGTCATTCTGTAGGAACACATATTTTAATAATGTTTCCAAAGCGCATTCCCTTATGTTCAGACTTTTCTAGCATACTGTTTGCATTTTATAAATTGATGAGGAAAAAATGCAAAAAAGTTTTTTCTAAAGAAAAATGTTTTTTAACTATCTGTTAGGAGAATCAGCTTTCTGAATTGGATTTAGTTCAATGACTTTGAAATTTTTTTGAGCCCCTTTCAAAATTAGTATACCTGAAGCCTTTACAGGTTTTAATGAATAATTGTGGGGAGGGTTGAATGTTTAGAAGGGACTTTTTTTCATTTAACTTTTTTTGCAGCTCCTTTGCAGTAGTGGTGAGAAAAATCTCTCCCTCTAGTGCTCGAGTTCCATAACTATGGTTGTAAGCACAAACAGTGTTCAGTATGTTCAGTTTTGTGTTTGGGTTTTTTTCAGTATGGCAGATTTGGGAGGCACTTGTTTCTTTTTACTAAATGATATCTCTAATTCCAAATGTCTTGTCATTTCTACGCTAGACTTTGTCCCGTGTTGAATATTGGCTTGAGACTGTTGTCAAGTTTGTATAAGATAGGGATGTGTTCTTTCCCACCACTCTTCCTTCATAAGCAGAAAACTCAGGTCAATCTAGATTCTGCCAGAGTCTGTGCCTAGGAGTTGCAACTTCGAAACTTGGTCATGCCGGCAGCTTTGTAAAACCTTCTACTTAGTTTTCGTTGCCATTAGTGGTAGTACTTCTAGTTCTGACGCTAGCTGAAAGGAATGGATGTTATGGCTGCTTAGATGTAAATCTGCTTGTGCTCTTTGCTAAAGCTAAGTTTCTCTCATTGATAATAAATTCTGGTCTTGTAGCAATTGGGATGTTATCTGGCTACTCATATCTAGTGAATTCGGAGTCTCATTACCACAAAGGAGTGTGAAAATAATGTATGCTACTTGTCTGTTTCTCTAGATCTGGATATGAGACCCTTGTCAGATAACTCTTGTGAGTTGCTTATGTAGGAGGCTTTTCCATTCTGCAGTCTCACTGACTTGAATGGTGCATAGAAAAGTACTTTTATCAGAAGGTATTGGGATTCCTCCTTGTTTCAGAATCATGCCTTCAGATTGGAGGAGTTACAGTAAAAAGCTTTAATGGACCAGAATAATACTTAATATTCCATTTTAATTTAGATTGTCAGTACTAATCAGGTGCCTAGGACCAAATGCAAATATTTGTGTACAAGTCTTGTAAATACACTTTTCCTCAACCAGTATTGGACAACGTGGAAACCAGAATGAGGACTTACAATGTTGGAATGTTTCTCTGCACTGCATCAACATCAACGCCTTCTGTGCATTCTTGCATGTTGGGCTGTGACAGTATGTGAATCACTGTTTCTGCTTGGAGTGGTGGGACTCTGTTACGAACCCAAGGAGCGCAGATGAGATCCAGAGGCCCTTGTTAATGCACTGAGCTCAAATACCAAATGTGTGAGAAATCTGCAAATTTGGAATGAGATACACCTGTCAATAAAAGTGAAACTTCCTGGGGTGAGGATCACAGTTGGGAAAGGAACAAAAGTCTTGGGACAAAGCATCTGTGAAATGCTCACTACGAACCATTCACTCTTACTTCACACTACGTTCAGTAATTTTTCTGTCTTTCATAACGTACTAGTGTGCCACAGCACAATGTTCATGTGAAATAAGGGACAGTTAAAATGTGACTTTCAAAGGAAGGGGAAGGAGCGTGGTGTGGTTCTACAGCTTTGGGGATTTTTTTGTTGTTTTTCCAGGAAGCCCAATACAAATTTTGTTTTGAAATAAAAAGGACTCCACTTTTGGGCACGCGGTTCTGGCTGGGCTGGAGCTGTACTTGTATTTTTGGTCATATCATCTGTTTGAGCTGGTTGCGGTTTAGACCCTTAGCTCTGATTCAGTGTCTAAGCAGCACCTGTGCTGCGCATCTGTGTTTTTGTTGTCTAGTGCTGGAATCTTTGTCTGTTATCGAGCAGCTATGTCCTCAAAGCAGGACCTGCTGATATTACAGTGGATGTTCACAAAAAGAAATAATGCCTAAACAATCTGCTTTATAATGAAATAAAGTACATCTTTGGAGCTAATGCTTGGCTTTCAGTGCTTTGAATGCTGTTACAGTTCTAACACTGGTAGAATAATGTTACCTGCCTACGAGACTGAAAATGATTCCTCTCAAAACGGCTGTTTAGAGTGTCAGTGTAAAATAAAGACAAATTATGTTTACTCCAGGGTCTTCTCTCAACAAAAGGTTGCCAAAATAACAGAACCTTAACCATTCCTCTAGGCTTTCCTGTTCCAGAAGAGCTGCAATTCAAAAGGTGCTGCACAAGTAAATAGTGGGGGAGTGAGGCAATGATGCATCAGTTTAACGAAAACTATTTCTGGATGAAACACGGTGCTAGTCGTTTCGTAGCATGAGAGTAGTACCAGGACATTGACTGAAACAACAGAACTCAAAGCTGATGATGTTCCCAGTATTGTTTTGCCCACTGAGTTTTTGCTTATTCCAAGTTAAGTTTAAAAAAATCTATCTTCCTGCCTCCTGAATAAAATATATTAGTACTTAAAAGCAAATTTATTTAAAACACTGATACTGGATACAAGAATTTTGGCCGAAATTTTGGTCATATATGAAGTCATTTTAAACAACAGCTTGATTTCTCCCTTGCTGTTTTATTTCTCCCCAGGAAACTTGCATTAGTAACTGTGGTTGCTGTAGGAATATTATGTTATCACACACATGATCACAGAAGTAATTGAAGTCACTGTAGATGCGATGAGTTACTGGCAAGACAGCCAGGTGAAATACCAGCACCAAGGCAAAGTCTGAGATCCTCTTTCTGCTGGTAGTATTTCAAGCGCGAAATTCTTTGCATAGCCTTTTCTTCTGCACTGTGGATTTCATGTGAAAGCTTGTGCCGTTACACTTAAGTTCTGGGTGTTTGATTTTGTCCCCATCGCCATGATTCAAGAAGCCTTAAAAATCATCTGGTTTATTTTAGTTCACCTATTCCTAGAGTGTGTCTGAATGTAATACTGAGAGGGCAAACAAAGGAACTTTTTTTCCGAATTCCTCAAACATTTTGTTTGTTGCCTTTTTTTTTGTTTGTTTTAGAAAAAATTCCTTTTGGCTGCAACTATTGTTGTTTTACTCTGTGAAACGTTCCATGGCTGTGCTCCCTTGATTTCTTCTGGGGATAACCCTGCCCCTGCACTGTAAACAGGCTGTCATCTCTGACAAAGATTTCTCAGCCAGCTTTCGGTAAAGGAGGAAGCCGAGTGGCCTGGTAACTGCTTTTCCTAATTGTCCCCTCTTGCAGCGAGGAATAATAAGCCTTCAGTTTTATCACAGCTTTGGGGAGTTTCGCGCAGGTTTTTGTAAGCTGGTGTTTGCTCACCGACTTGGTGTGACACCAGTGACAGGTCCTCAATCAGCCCTCGCTGCCTGGAATACCAAAGCTGCTTCCCGATGTGTCGCTGCGTGCTGAGCGAGCGCCCGAGCCTTTCCCACGGCGAGCGCGCGTCTTTCCAGACGCGGGATGGCTGCAGGGTGTTATCACCAGCGAAGAGGAGCGCTTTCAGGAGAAGCGTGCAGGGGAGGGATGACATTTCTGAAGCTCTGTTCTGCCTGGTGCGCGGCTTGGACGGGCTGCCGTCTCCCTTACGCTTGCTGCTCGCTCTGCCAGCTTTCTGACACCAAACCCCAGCCTTCGCCGCCTTCCTGCCTGGAAAAGTCACGGTTTGAACGGCGGCCAGCGGCCCTGTGCAGGTGTTCAGACAATGCCCGCTTGTTCAGGGGGCTCTGGCTCCCAAACTCGGGCCCCCCAGCTTCGCCGGGACTCCCCGAAGGCCGGACGCCGGCACGGAGCCTTGCCCGCCTGGTGGCAATGTTACACCGCGAGTCGAGGCACCGCGTCCTGCCAGTCGGGAGCGAGCGGTGGGACGCGTGTTCAACCCGTTCCAGTTGGGTGTCCTGCCTCTTCCTTCGCTGCTACGCTCGTGGGTGCCGTACGCGTAGAAGGCTGGGAGCCGAGTTCACCAATATTCGTTTGTGCTTCCTAGAATCAGGGCCAGGACTGCAGTTGTTTTAAGCTGAAATGCTGAAAATTATCATCTTCTCCTTTTAGAGAGGTTGTAGTATTGTCTAACATTTTCTAAGCACGCTAGGTGTCCAGGGGCAGTTGCTGTGACAGCCGCTGCGTCTGCTGAATGTTGCTCCACAATGTAAACCTGGACTGCGACAGTCTTTGGGGTTGGGACAGATGGCGAGAAAAGAAGCCTCTAAAAGCAAAATCAATATTCTAGGCTTGCGACCTAATTAGTCAGCTAGGCTTTAAGCTGCTGTTTTATAATATGCTACTGGATGGATCTGCTAAAACTGAAACCCTTCTGTGGGCCAGGTTCTAGCAATTCTCTGGCTATTGCTAATGTGACGCTGGCCAAGCTGGCAGCGCTCGGCAGAAAGGAAATACCCTGACAACTGGCACCTCCTTTGGCAGCGGTATGGGAGGGGCCGGAGGCTGAATGAGCACAGAAGTGATACACTTCGTCACGACAGAGGGGGCTGTCAAGGTCAGAGATGGGCTGCCTGCTCTGACATAGTTCTTGCTGGAGAACCAGGAAAACTGGGCCAGTTCATCTTCCAGCAATATGAATACCCGAGAGCTTAAAATGGAGGGAACAAATAAAACAGAAGGACAGTTTGGATATAAAATTCTTTTAAAGCTATGTTTCAGACATATTTGTATTTCTTTAGAGAAAATCAGGATACATGGCACACATAAAATCCCAGATTCCCCTTCTTATAGATTAAGGCTAAAGTGGTTGGTTCAAAAAATGGTGTGAGGACTGCTGGGGGAGTATCAGCTATGGGAAGCCCGAGATGAGTATTCTCCGCTTCAACCTGCAGCATGTCTTTAGCCATCTGATGTTCTTACAGCTCTGATGTGTCTGCTCTGTATACCTGTGGTGTGAAGCTTTACAAAAGAAAGAGGCAGCTCCAGGCACAGGAAGCAGTGAGCTGTAGGTTTTGCATGATTAACTTCACTGTGTAAGTGTGAATGTTATTTTGGTTTAAATAGCTGTATCTTTTGGTAGTGCAAGAACAAGGAATTGCTGCAGCTGGGTTCCCGAGGGCTGCAGAGCTATGCCTCATGCATCTAGAGCAAGGGCTCACCGTGACCACAGATGTGGTCATTT